CTATTGGCTTTTACTCAGGATAATCTCTTGGCTGTCATTTTGGCGGTGTTTCAAAAGGAAACTTGGGCAAATATGGCTTAATATGCCATGCTTTCTGTCCCTTCCCTGTCCTATCTGAATTACAATGATCATCCTTTCTGATCGCTACCTTGTACAACGTATTATTTGCTTCAGGGTAGGATGGGTTAACTTGTCACAAAAAGACATAGGGAGACCTGACCTGGATGAGCGGACATGGCCTAGGTATCCAGGGCCTGGGGCTGTCAAAGGAGGCGACAGACTCCTGGGAGAGTTGTGCACGCATTCGCAGGTATACGTAGAATACTGCCTTATGTGAAGGGAAACCCTGTTAGTGGAAACGGTGTGAGAAGGTGTGCATGGGCGTGTGTATGTACACACTTCTGCACACATTGGTGTGCTGGGAAGCAGATCAGTGGTCTGCCAACAACTTTATTATCTGTCTTTCCCATGGCCACTCTCTTCTGTTCTTGACAGTATAACCTTCTTTTGAGGAAATGCTTCTCCCTCTGTTTTGATGATATAGGGCTATTGGGCGTGGCCCATCACAGACACACAGAGGAACAGTAATACAGTCCAGGACAGTAGGATCCTTCCTTGGAGTTTTCTAATCAGAGGTAGGAAAATACAACCTCTTGAGTACGGACTCCAAGGCTGTGAACCTGAGGCCATCGGTAGTATTGGAAGAAGGAGTCACAGCAGCAGGGAAAGGAGATGGCATTCTGGGGGTAGCCAAGGGATAGAGAAGCTATAGGCGGGCATCCTGGCAGCTTTTCAGTTCCTTTTATGACCCATGGGCACTTGTGCCCTTTGCTTCCTCCTTTTGCCTTTGTCTTTGTGGGTTTGTCCCTTTTTTGCCCTTGGTTTTTCTTTTTTTTTTTTTTTTTTAACTAAGAACATGTAACATGAAATCTACCCACTTAACAAATTTTTAAGTGTAGAGTATTCACTAGGAACACAATGCTACAGAGCAGATCATTAAAACTTAGACTTTTTCATCTTGCTTAACTGGGTTTGTGCTTTTTTATATTAAATTTTAATACCGGAAGTTGATAACGAATATACCAACCAAATGCACAAAGCAGCAGTTTCGTATTTCAAGTTTTTGTTACTGCCATAGTTCTATGAAATGCCCACAGAATTGTGAAAATTTAAATATTCATAAAAATTCATAAAGCTAAGGCTTCAGGAGATATTAAAAAAATTTGCATCATTTACCATATTGGTCTGAAAGTACATTATGATTAAAAACACTACAATAGTCCAGAGAATAATATCACCATTCACATTCTGAACCCTGCGGAAGAAGAGGGACTGAAGTAAGTCTCGGAGGAAATCAGGTAGAAGGGGGGGATTTTAAGCCTCTGCTTTAAAGTTTTGAAAGTTTTGCATTGTTTGTTTTTAAATGTATTGTTTTGGTTCTTTTAAAAGCAAGGAAATGTCCAGAAATGATTTAGACTGAAGCAAAAATGGAATTTCTATTCATTTATAGCAACGTCAATATAGGCATATGAAATGAATATTACGCAGAGCAAACTGCAAAGTGGACCCTCTCAGGAACAGAATTCATAGTATCTCACGTGACAGCCAGCATCTTTGCAACAGATAAAGTTTCTTTCTTTAGTAAGTAACCCTGGGGGCTCCTGGGTTGCTCAGTCGGCTAAGTGTCCAACCCGTGATTTTGGCTCAGGTATGATCTCGGACTCCTGGGATTGAGCCCCATGCTGGGCTCTGCACTCAGCAGGGAAAGAGCTTGAGGATTCTCTATCTCTCCCTCTCCCTCTGTCCTTTATCCCACACATGCGCATGCACCCACTCTCTTTCTAAAATAAGTAAATCTTTAAAAAGTAAAGAAAAAAAAAGATAAAAAGTAACTCTCACATTTGTGACGACCTTCTATTTGGACTAACACAGTATTTTTGACCCTTTGTGGCTGTTATTTTTACACCCGCTGCCTATTGAAAAACTGTAGCTCTTAAATTTTTTCTGCATTTTTACTACTGTGCATGTTCTTGCCTAATTCAGTGATTTATGTCTTACGCTGAGTTCTAAAGGACACCTCTTATTTCTGGAGAGTAGCTTCAATCCCCTTGAGGACTCTGGCCCAGCAGAGGAGGGTCTGTGACTTGGCTGATGTGCTGGGTTCCTAGGTTTCATCAGACTCTGGAGACACAGGTCTGATGACATTCAGAGCAGGAAAGTATTTCTGTGTACTTAAGGAAGTACACAGAATAAATACTAGCTAGAAATTTACACTAGTTTGGTAACTTGGGCCACAAAAAGACCAATCTATGACTTACGCAACGAAGTCCACACGGTACATCATAATCTCATCCCAAATACAAATGAAATCTCCTAAAATTCTAAGGACTACGTTATTGGTAGGGTTGCACCTTGTTTCCATGTGGCCTCTACTCCAGCAACTACTCTCCTTGATAAATGAAGGCGCCCCATCTTCCGTGAGGGCCTGCAGGCCTCTAAGGGCTCCGGCTGCCTTTTTCCCGCGGCTCAACCCCATGCAGTGTGACAGCCATCAGGAGGGTTGACCAGCTCTACCAGACCTACCTCGGCCGGAAAGCCGTACTAGCTAAAACGCTGACTTTAAAATAAATCTTAGTCCAGGCTACAGTACACCACCTGAAACTGCTTCAGCAGAGGCAGATACTTCGTGAGTGACAACTGCGCTCGTGAGGGATCCTCCACCTGGGGCTTACCGAGGCGGCACCCAGCGCAGAGGCAGCAGTGAGATTATGATGATGATGAGTTCCCTGTCTCTGTCTTCTCAAGCAGCAAAACATTGTTCAGAAAGAGCCCCCCCCCCGCCCCCCACCAGCCTCTGGCAGCTACGTTTAGCTGCAGTCACTGCAAGTCACCAGGCACTTGGGGCCCTCAGGGACTCAAGTGACTCAGAGTGACAAAACGAGTAAATGAAGAGAAGAACTCAGATGAAGTGAAACCCTAATAGCCAGCATTGCTAAGACCAGTCTACCACCCGCGAGCTGACTTGGTTCAATAATCCACCTTGGCTTCCTGGTTTTGAAATGGGAACACCCCTGAAGCTGGGATTTAGACTAGTTTAGATTCTGGGTCTGGATTTGAATGCTAAGGTGTTTTAACATAAAAAAAACTAAGAATGGGATGCCTGGGTGGCTCAGTGGGTTAAGCCTCTGCCTTCAGCTCAGGTCATGATCTCAGGGTCCTGGGATCAAGCCCCGCATCGGGGTCTCCGCTCAGCGAGGAGCCTGCTTCCTCCTCTCTCTCTGCCTGCCTCTCTGCCTACTTGTGATCTCTCTCTCTCTCTCTGTGTCAAATAAATAAATAAAATCTTTAAAAAATAAAAATAAAATAAATAAATAAAAAATTAAAAAAAACCTAAGGACCACGGCCAGCGAGGGTGGTGGCAGTATCTAGGTAGATGGGAGAGGTTTACTTGTTCTGTATCCTTGCAGAAGCTCTGTTCTTCCTTGAAAGGGTATTATTTATAAGTTACCGTTTCTTACCCACTTGTTCTCTCATTAGTTTACTTCTTAAATAATGAAAACTATTTTAAACTCTCACATAACCCCCACAAGGTAGACACTATTATTGTTCCCATTCTATAAATTTGAAAGATGAAGGTACGGATCTTGTTCAAGGTGATAGGAGGGTGGAGATTCGAATGCTAAGAGCCTGGCTCACGTCTACGCTCTAGTCACCAGTACCCCTCAGCTCTGCCCAGAGGAAGCGGTGTGGCTGTTCCCTGCTGGCAGCGTCTCAGGAAGGTGGTGGGCAAGCACTCTCACCTGGTCAGCCTTGAGTCTCCCAGTGGTAACACTGCATTATCAGATCACTCTGATTTATTAAATTTATTAACTGTTCTACTCCAGGGCAGCCTACAGCATACTCCTCAACTTCCTCCCAAGGCTCCATCCCAAACTTGCTTGATGTAAGAATCCCCTGGAAAACTTATTGTTGAAGGTGTAGCTTCTCAGGATCTCAGGATCCACTGGGTTTGATGTGGTCCCAGAAGATTATATTTTTAACAACTGACCTAGATGATTTTTCCGAGTCTTCTCATCAGTCAAGTTTGGGAAACAGTGCTCTAGGAGTTTTAGCCAATGGGAACAAATACAGTTGATCTTAGGTATTATGTATTATATGTTAAGTCAAAGTATCAGTAAGCAGATGACATTTCTATAGCTGAATTAATCCAAAGCAATCAGTACATATGGCACAAAGTAGTTTTCTTCAGGAAGAACTTGGGGAGTCAGCTGGAATGTCTTTGTTGTTTTTTTTTTTTTTTTCCTCTCTCTGGGTGATGACTATTAGAAAGAATTCTTTAATGGCTGTGCCCTTGAGGGAGTTTCTGCAATGCTCTGATTATGGAACAGCTTAAATCAAACAGAAAGTAAGCCATTTTATAGAGCTCTTTTAAGTCCTGCCTAAGAGAATTCTGGAGAAGAGTAAATTAAATAAAGAAGATAAAGGAGTACACAGTTCCAGTTCCTTGTAGGACCCTAAAGGGAAACTCCTTGTATAACTGAGAGAGAGACTCCGCTTTCAATGTAAATGTTCATGAATCATATACAGAATGATTTAGGTGAATATCAGGGATTAATTCAATTCACACAGTCTAATCAGGAAGCAGAAACCATCTCTGACATTTAAAGAACACAAATGCAAAATTGTTGTAATTCATGATCATCAAAATATTGTTTAATGTTAATAAAAAAAAAATCTCCTAAGTACCTAATCTGCTTTGACACTATATTCACTGCTTGTCACAAGTGAGAGCTTACGCCCCAGGCACCACTCACAAGTAGACTCCTTTGGTTGTTATATTTATGAGTTAGTCGGGAGAAAAGGAAGGAAAAAATTAGAAAATAATATTAAAAGACAGTTAAAGAAGGAGAAAGAAAGCCAGTCCTTTCCATCCCGTGGAATGCTCTGCTCCCCAGGCCAGGCCAACTCTGAGCAGTGACTGAGGTGTGAACCCGACATACCTCTTGGTGGGGGTGGGCACTCCAGAAGACGCTGAGGCGTGGCTCACCAGGGTGTCATTCATATTAGCCAGCGGGCGAGGGGGACTGAAAGCAAAGACATTTACATTGTATTAATAATTACCAACATGACCAGGGGAAACAAATGAAAGAGTGATAAGAGCAAAGGAACCAACTATCATTCCACCTGATAAGCACAGTGGGAGCCGGGTGGGAATCGATAGGTGCAGCCCAAGCAAACTCCATAAGAAGGGTTCTCGAGCTCAAAGCCCGTGGACCACAGAGCTATGCTGTACCAGGAGTGACCAATGACCCACACACCGTGACAGGGAGATGACTCCTCTGGCTTTTGTTTCATAGTTCAGTATACAAGTCTGAGTTGCTACTTAATTTCTCTGCATTTTAGGTGTTTCCAGAGTTAGGAGACCTTTGATGTTTGTGGCATATTACACAGGTCACAACAGCAACATACGTGTTTTTCCTGATTTGGTTAAAGTTCACTGTCTTCCCTCAGGCTTAGTTTCCATACTGGTTACCAAAAGAGACTATTATTGGTCCTTTACTAGAATCTTAATAATCAACCCATATTTTATACTGATCCTTTAATTAGAATGCTTTCTTTTATAACCTAATCCAAATTTAAATTTGAAAGTAAGTATTTTTAATAACTTGTCTTTAACACTGGTTTTCTGGAGGCTAGGTCTATTGCTCCCTCTTGGAGAGTCTTAAAGGAACAAATCCAAACTTACCAAAAGGAATTTATGATTTTGCCCTTCAGCTATCTTCAGCTGGTCTCCCTCCCCACCACGTTCAGCTACAAAGGGTTTCTGTCTCGCATGTGGAGCCACATGACTATTGCTAAATATTACTCCTGGGAAATCGCTCACTTCCTCCCCTAAATTGAAAGAAGTACTTTTCAGAGAAATTTGACCATCAAAGCCCAAAAGTGAAGCAGAAAAGTCCTCTCATATTCAGGTGCTTGGGAACTAGCTCCTGGTGTCTCCTTATATTGAAGTGCTGAGTTAATTATGTGAAGTGTTTTTGTAGAGGTTATACTTAGCAAGTCTTGGTGAATATTAAGGGACTAGAGCCTTTGCTATTTTGCAGGTTTTATAATACACTCAAAGAGAGACTCAAGGGAAAATTTTCAGGTAAAGCCAAGGAATCTAAAGGAAAGGTTAAAAGGGATAGATCAGTCACCCTAACTGCATACCTACCTACCTACCTACCTACCTGTCTCTACATCTGTCTATATACACTCCTCCCTTTCTTTTAACTCAATTTCATTTCTGGGTAAGGAAATATTTTAAATGATTTTTCATTTAATGGAGAGGATCAAAGATGGTATGTAATTTGCAGGGAACGGATTTAGGGCTCTTGATTTTTATTTTTTATTTTATTTATTTATTTATTTATGTATTTTAGGGCTCTTGATTTTTTTTTTTTTTAAAGATTTTATTTATTTATTTGAGAGAGAGCATGAGCGAGGAGAAGGTCAGAGAGAGAAGCAGACTCCCCGCGGAGCTGGGAGCCCGACGCGGGACTCGATCCCGGGACTCCAGGATCATGACCTGAGCCGAAGGCAGTCGTCCAACCAACTGAGCCACCCAGGCGTCCCAGGGCTCTTGATTTTTAAGCCACAACACTATGCTTATTGTTACATTTTCCTCCCTTTAGGTGACAAGTCACGAAGACATTCAGAATTGAAATATGCCTTTCTAGGTGACGATGTAATTCCACATTATTCATCGCCCTACCTATCTTCCAGGCAGGTGTCCAATATTGCCCCCAAACTTTCAAGCCTATTGATGCTGGTTGCTGTGCTGAGTTATAATCAATCAATCAATCATTTTAGGCTGACTAATAAAAATGAACACAGAGAGGGATGCCTGGGTGGCTCAGTTGGTTAAGCAGCTGCCTTCGGCTCAGGTCATGATCCCAGCGTCCTGGGATCGAGTCCCGCATCGGGCTCCTTGCTCGGCAGGGAGCCTGCTTCTCCCTCTGCCTCTGCCTGCCACTCTGTCTGCCTGTACTTGCTCTCCCTCTCTCTCTCTGACAAATAAATAAACAAAATCTTTAAAAAAAAAAAAAATGAACACAGAGATTAACTTAATTTTCATCCTAAATTTATATTTTGTCTCTAGTCCTTTGAAATCAATTGTCCAAATGCAACAAGGAGACAATTCCTATGAGAGAAACAAATCCAACACCACAGCTTTTCATACTTGAGGGCACCAGAAACATTCTGCTCCTGAAAATAGAATGGGCTTTGCCTCCTTAATATATTATTATTCATAATCCATATCCCAAATAAGATAAGGACATGCTCATGTTGCTTTCAGAACTAATGTAGTTACCTAGTATTTTTCAATATTGAAGATACTACTACATTCAGTTTCCTGTCTGATATTCTCAGAGGAAAAATAACAGAAAAAAAACTTTTTAAAAATTTCTTACACATGGATCCATGTGATAAAATTTCATGATTTGGAGTATTTTGTTTGGTCTGATACCACAAAAGTCATTAATAATCATCTCTATCTCTTGTGAGATATCAGGCACAATTATTATCTTAGAGTACACATATCAGAGCCTCTTCTCCAATATTCAGAACCAGACAGTAATGATTACATTGTAAGTTGGAAGCTAATCGTAACTCCCCCCAAACTTCCAAGCCTTTGTGAACTTCTAGCACATTTTGATAGAGAAATAGGTACTATGTGTTTGTAGTCCAAGATGGAAGAGGTATTTGAAAACATAAATGGTGTCTTTACTGTAGGATCTACCACTAGACCCACAATTCACCGTGAAAGCCAACAATTCAGACGTGGTCTTAGAAGATGTAATACACCATAAATGACTTTCGGCTTAAAAAATGTTTCATAGTTCCTATAAGACAGCAAAAGAATGCTTCCAGGTGTGAAGTAGACATCAATGGTACCAGTTATAGAAACTTACAAAGCAGAATTGATCCAAGTTATCAGATCAGTTTTTGTGGCTGTCTTTAACATTCAAAACCTGTTGAATACCTTGAACAGGCCACAAGATGTTCTACATCTTCCTTTGGTGAAGATCTCAGCAAGGTATCTTTAGACACTAGTGAGTTCTGTGATACTCAACTGACCACCAACCATCACTTTGTACAAATTCGGGAGGCTCCTTCTTTGTTCATAAGACATGCCAATTTTTTGATGAGAAGATAGAAGCAAATGGATGCTGCCGAGGGACATAATCTGCCAGGCAGAAGAGGTGGGTATAAAAAGAAGACTTGGAGAGAATTTTAAAAATCTTAATCAAAAGGAAAGAAGCATTCTTACTGGGTGTCTACTCATAAAAGATAAGTAAGACTATCTTCACCTCAATAACATAATCATATATTGATGAAGACAGATATGTAAACAAATTATTGAATTATTAAATGAATGCAAAGTAGTGAGAGCAGCAAAACAAATACAAAGTGTTGAGGAGTCCAGTGAAAAGCAGTGACTCCCGCCTGGAAGAAGGAGGGGCAAGTGCAGGCAGGGGGAGCTAACACTGAGGAGAGACATTCCCAGCTACAGAAAAAAAGTTAAGGGCACCCTAGATGGACAAAGTGATTTGGAAAAAGGGATTGAAACCCAAAAGTACGTGACATATTTGGGGCCAACTTAGTTGTCTAGACCCAAAAGCACTTGAAAGGGAGTAGCTGAAAAATGACTCTGGAAAGTAGATTAGGGCCAGGATGTGAATGAAGCCTGTTCTACCACAAGCTAAGAAGTTTGGACTTTATACTAGAGGCAGTGGGGGAAGCACGGAACACTTTCAAGTCAAAGGAAACTGGGCCTTGAAAACATAACCTGAGAAACTTGTAAATCACCGGTTTTAATCAAGGGTGTGCACAGGAATAATCTTTGAAGCTTTCTGTAAAAAAGGTACTAAGGTCTCCCCCTCAGTTTAGTGAATCTCAGTCTTGAGGGGAAAGAGGACTTTTTATAACGCTTACTCCATTTAAAAATCACTTATGTAGAATGGATTGGGAAGGAGGATGGTATGGAAGCTGGGAGACCAATTAAGAGGTTATGACAATTGTCCAGGTCAGGGATTATAAGGGTTGACAGTGGGAAAGAGAGAAAAGGAAAAATACTGCTGAGATGATAAAAAAAAATAAAATAAAAAAGATAAGGTACAAGAACTGAGTCAGTACGTGGGGTTAGTGGGCCAAGAATGACTACTGGTGGTTCATGATACCGATATCCAAACCAGGGAACACAAGAGGAGGAAATAGGATTTGGTGTTGGGTAGACAGAATAAGTGGAGAGGATTTCACTTTTGAAATTGCTGAATTTGAAGTTGCATGGATAAGTACAGGTATGTGATACCTAGAAAGCAGTTGGAAACAGGAGAATAGGAACCCAGGTGCCATAACAAGTTTGAAAATAATCGAGAATAGTCATTTAAATTGTAGCTATTCATTTAAGTTCTAATCACTATAAAGGTGTATTTTTATTTACTGTTTTCAGATAGAGCAGTATAGGTTTGGGGAAATATCCAGTAAGAGGATGGCTTAGATAACAGGTAAAGAACTTCCAGTTACTGGTCAGATACACCTCTTATCGTAAAGTAAAAATTTCACTTACTGGTACAAGGCATTTTCACATTACTTCTCTTATGACCAGACCACACCAGTTCATTCTAGTGGATGCTCTAGCATGTAGACTAACTTAAAATTAAAACTGCTACAGAATCTCTCTTAGGGTTTTGAAAGCTAGGAACAGATGATGAATACTTCATCATGCATTTAAAATCTTAAGGACAAATTATATATAACTGTATATTTCTTTTTTCATTTATCAACTATTTGTTCTCTACAAAGTAGGTGGTATGGTGCTAGCTGCTAGGGATAAAAATCAAAGAGATAAAAACTTAAGTCCTGGGGCGCCTGGGTGGCTCAGTGGGTTAAGCCTCTGCCTTCAGCTCAGGTCATGATCTCAGGGTCCTGGGATCGAGCCCCACATCGGGCTCTCTGTTCAGCAGGGAGCCTGCTTCCTCCTCTCTCTTTGCCTGCCTCTCTGCCTACTTGTGATCTCTGTCTGTCAAATAAATAAATAAAATCTTTAAAAAAATTAAAAAAAAAAACTTAAGTCCTATAAGGAAGAAAAATTATTTATAATAAAAATAATTTACAGAAAAATAATTACAATATAATGCAATAAGTATTTAATAGAAGTAAGAAAAACTGTAACATGCCATGGGAAAATATTGAGATCACCTTACTGCATAAAGAAAAACATATTTCTAGATGTTAAAGAGCTAAATGTAAATGTTAAATTATATAAATTAGAAAAAAACATATGGGTCTATAGATAGAAAGGATTTGCTAAGGCCAAAAGTAATGGAAAAATTAGGAAGGAAAAGGATATTAATTTGAATTTTAAAAATCAGAAAAGAAAGAAAAATATAAATTTAGGACACTATTTCAGTAAATGTGACAGAGCAAGAATTAGTAGCCTTAATTTATAAGGGAGTCACACAAATTTATAACAAAATTATTTACGTTTCAATTTAATAAAAGGGCAAAGTGAAAATAGACCTTTAAAAAAAGATATATAAATAACATAAAAATACTTTAATTATGAAAAAAAATATTAAAATTATAGACCATTTTCCTTCTAAAAATAATAATGATGTTTTTTAAAAAGGTAATCCTTAGTGCTGGAGGGGATTTTCTGACACAGCTCATAAATTTACTAAGTAAGAGTGAAAGTATGAAGTTAAGCAAAATTTCCAGAGGGCAATCTGGCAACACATCCACCAAAGATCTTTAAAAATGTTCAGCTTGACTCAGCAATTCCCTTTCTAGAATCTATTCCAAGGAATTAATCAGAAATGCAAAGGTAGGTTTGTATTTTAAAATATTTATGGAAATATTATTTACAAAAAATAATTCTGGAAGAAACTTAAATGTTCATATATGAGGGGAAGGAAAAGTAAGCCCTAGTATATTCATAATTATAGGATATTACACTGTCATTAAAATATAATGATTAAGCCTTTCTAAATGCTTAGCACGTAAGAGGTAAAAAAGAAGGGCAACATAGCTACAATAATAGTTAACAATTATTGAATGTTTGAGGCATACCTATCAGACACAGTATTTAAAGCCTTAAATATATTATTTATTTTATCCTCACAGTAACCCTGTAAAATAAGATAAAATTATACATGCACATACCATGGTCTCAGCTAAATAATAATATTAAAATATAATAATAATATAATATTATAATAAAATAATATAATAAGTATAAAACAAAGTATCTGAAGGAAATATGTCAAAATGTTAAGAGAAGCTTAATTATGGGTAACTTTCTCCTGTCTATTTATACTTTCCTGTATTTCCACAAATTCTCCAGTTAAATTTTTCCTGATTTTCAGAGAAGATGCTTAATGTAAAAAAATAAATAAATAAATAAATTATAAAGTAGGGGAAAAAAGACAAAAAGAAAAGGTGTGCCTGGGTGGCTCAGTCAGTTAAGCATCCAACTCTTGATTTGGGCTCAGGTGAAGATCTTGGGTTTTGGGATTGAGCCCCTCATCGGGCTCTGTGCTAAGCATGGAGCCTGCTTGAGATTCTCTCCCTCTGCTTCCCTCCATAGGGGGAAAAAAGACAAAAAGGTAAAATAGAAACTTTTAACACCACTGAGTCAAATTCTCTAAAGTAGTATACTATTTTTGTTATTATTAAGAAAGCAAAAGGAAGGAAAATGCTTAATGAACTGAGACTCTGTTAGTAGACAAAAGACCTTTAAATGATTTAAGTAGATACAAAACTGCACAGCCCCCCAATACCCTTACCACCATACTCCCCCCCCACCACCAAAGAAAGTCCAGAAAATGCGTGAGATCAGGCTACATTATCTCCTCTACCAGACTGTAAGAAATGTGCGTATGTGTGTGTGTGTTGGAATCACTGTATTTTGACTACGGGGCAGAGTGGGAGACATGGCTCAGGCTCCCAGGCAGTATTTGCTGGTCATGAGTTAGCCCGGCTGTGGGCAGAGTACAGAGGACTGCAGTGTGGTCGAGAAGTCCCTTTTCTATTAACTTCAGCTCTGGTGAGATGATTCTCGGAGCACAGAGCGATGGCATAACCAGCGGGTGTATCTGGTAACTGTTTCTGTAACGCCTGCAGCCAAAGCCAGTCGGCCTACGTGACTTCATCAAGGGATCGCAGAACGGATTGTCGTCAGTAACAGGAGCACGAGTACTGGTTGAGCGCTCACTACACATCACGCTTAGCTCAAACATTTCCCAAGGATTCACTTATTTAAACCTCACAATCCCCAACGAGACAGAGACTATTATTTTTTTTTATTTTTTTAAGATTTTATTTATTTATTTGACAGACAGAGATCACAAGTAGGCAGAGAGGCAGGCAGAGAGGGGAGGAAGCAGGCTCCCTGCGGAGCAGAGAGCCTGATGCGAGGCTCGATCCCAGGACCCTGGGATCATGACCTGAGCTGAAGGCAGAGGCTTTAACCCACTGAGCCACCCAGGCGCCCCAACAGATACTATTATTAACTTTATTTTACAGGGGAGACACCAAGGCACAGAGAGAAGGAATGGCCCTGAGGTCACAGCCAAATTGGGGCAGAAGGAGGATCTGAGCCAAGGAAGTACAGTATGGCTCTTGTGTCTCTGCTTGTAATCACTACAGCAGTGTCTCGACTACCTTGGATTGCCGCGCCATTAGAAGAGCTCACTTGAGACTGTTTAGTCTTGGAATTAAAAACAAAGGCATGGTGTTAGATCACAGTTTCTAAAAATTATTTCTATAGGAAATAATCTATTTCTATAGGTCAATTAAAAAGTTGTTTCTATAGGAAGGTGAAACTACATACCCCTGGAGTATAGTTTTGGGGTGATGTGTTCTCCCCCCATCACATCATCAGAGCTCTGTATTACAAATGCCTATCTGAACTCAGACCATCCGGCTGCAGAGCTCCCACCCTTCGCCACCTCTAGGCTGCCTCAAGGAAAACGAGATAAGCTACTATAAACTGTCTCCTCCAAAAACAGATCTCTAATTTATTTATTTATTTTTTAAAGATTTTATTTATTTGACAGACAGAGATCACAAGCAGGCAGAGAGGGAGG